CTGCGTGTCCCTTCCATCCTAAATGTACTGGACATTTGTAACAACCATAGGATTACAGATGATTTGCTCCTTTTATATATATACATTTATAAATGTATACCTTTAAAGTGGGCCCCGGTTACATCACTCACCAGAAAAAACGCAAAAGTATAACTCCACTTCACGCCGGCCTTCGCGGCCTGGGGTTATGGGTACTTCCCCGGACGGACCTGCCTATCGTTAAAATACTGGATATTGCAAATTAAATAATTAAACTCTAAGTAGTAAGGGAAAAAGTATCATCCGAAATATGATAACATTAAACAGATAAAAGTTTCAAAACGTGAAATTACTTAAATATACATTTGTGTGAATTAATTAATGAAGTCACGAACATAAAGATATATCTGTTCGGTGGCCCCGAGTGGTGTGATACCATGACGTATATATCAGGCTAGTTGAGTGTAAATATTTTGTTATTGTGACTGATTATTGCCTTAACTTAATTACTTTTTGGAATAAACTTATATTGAGCTTTAAACAATTTAAAGAAGTAACCCATTGTTTGGTTTATAATAAAGTTGACTTGTGTGTAAAGAACATTGTATCAAGACTCATTTTCCATTTTTTGTAGTGTTAGTAATAATACATAATATGTCGCAAAAAGTTCACGCAGAAAAAGTCATGCTGAAAATTCCGAAAATTTATATAATAGGGAAGATGCAATATTTTAATTTTTTGTTTTATTTGAATGGATTTCATGTAGAATAGACCACTTGTATATTAAAAAATTAAAATACTGCAATTTATTGTAAAAAAACGCGGTTTCAAATTGATGATTTAAATTTTCGCGCGAAAACGGATCTAATATTGCGATGACGTCACTTCTGTCTCATCTGTCACTTGCCATATAATTTGTCTCTCTCTTTCAACGCATAAGTTTTGACTTTCTAGAAATTTATTATTATTTTTTAAATAAATACCTCAAAGTACAAAAAATAAAAAATGATCTATCTATCAACATCAGGTAATCATAACAATGCCGCCAATGTTCCAAAAATCCGTGTTTCGTGCCTATGTGTCCATCGGCTTAATCAAAATTCCCTAATAGTTAAAGTGCGGAATGATGTGTTAAGGTCGAAAAAAATTGCAAACTTACAGATTCACATTGAAAGAGAGATCAGAAGACTGCGTGAGTTTGTTTTTCTAAAGCCACACATCTATTTTCATTTGGATATAACCGATAGCGCTGTCGCCACAAAATTGCCTTGTTGCCCTGAAAAAACTGCTAAATGTAGAAGCTGCTGAATGAAATACTAAGTCTCCCTGTGATTTATACATACCGTAGATTTTAATCCCTTTCATTTCTACATTTGAAAACTCTGCACTTTTAACAAAAATGTTTATAACCATGTCAACACTAATTTCCGCTAAATTCCTGGAGTCTGCTTTTATAATCCCAATCTCCATTTTTATTCAAAAAAGCAATTAAATTTCTCAAAACAAACTATGTTTACCTTTTCAATGTTAACTTTTATAAGCTTTATAAACAGGAATGACTAGACGCTGATTGGCGTTTTAAAGAACATTCCGTTTCACGTTACTTTAATCCGTAATATTTGTTAAAAATCTATATAAAAGAAAATAAAAATGTTGCAGTGGCCAATTTTTTATGATTTTTTAACATTTTAGTCACAAAATATTGTAAAATATTAAATCTGCATCTCCCCTATACTAGCGGACCGGACAGACGTTGTCCTGTACAAACGTCTTAAATTCGAAAATTTAAAATTTTTTGAATAACCTGAACACACGAAAAAAATCATTAAAATCGGTCCAGCCATTTAGGAGTTCAGTGACATACACACTTACAGTAGAATTATATATAGGTACTAGCGACCCGCCCTGGCTTCGCACGGATGTCAATGTATTGTGACGCACGGACAGACGGACAAGAGAGTGATCTTATAAGGGTTCCCTTTTTTACCTTTTGTGGTACAGAACCCCAAAAATGATACCAATTTTATCATGGCGGTATAATGGGTAGGTATGGAACCCTCGGCGTACGAGTTCGACTCGCACTTGACCGAATTTTTAGGTAATGCTACGGAACCATTCGTGCGCGAATCCGACTCGCACTTGGGCGGTTTTTATATTTGAGTTTAGTTCTGTGACAATGAGGTTAAACAGCAGGCTTGCAATCTTGTAAAACGGTGGTCGTTAAGTAATAGAAAAAGAAGCGCTCAAAAGTCTTAGACGGATAATCGAGTGCAATTATTCTTCGTTATACAGGGTGGCTTTTCTAAAGGTGCCCAAATTCACACAGGAGGTTCAGACTCGATAGTATAATCGTTTATTGAAACATAAACAAACATTTTTTTTTCAAAAAAATTGCCATTCCCTAAAAACCAGAACTTGTTGACAATGCGGTAGTCATTCATAAATGCGTCGTATACTTTTGAAACGAACTTGTTGCGTGTTAGTTATGAATGATCGCGCGTAAAATAAATGAGTTGCCCATAAATCACGCAATTTGAGATAAGTTCAAATGAATGTATTTAATTAATTACGAGTGATTTTAAATAATTTTTTTTATATAACATTATCTATGTCTAGAATTTAATTAAAAAAATGGATACACTTACAAAAGCCTCCCTGTATTTAATTGGATCATGTTACACTCATTTTATTATCTCGTGTATTCATTTTTAAAGCTTTAAAAATCTGAATGCTATACGAAACTCTCATGTATGCGACTTAAATAGCGATGTAGAACGCAAACAGGGGGAAACCACTTTGAAGGCATCTGATGAATGTTTTATGAGTGCCTTGAATAATAAAAGCTTTTGAATGTTTCTCGAGACACAAATAAGAGATTCAGCATAATTGTGGCCATGTTTAATTGTGACAGTTCCGTGGGACTTCATCATTCTTTTCATTTCCTAGAAATGTATCTGTACTTTTTCAATAGTGAATAGGCATGCCAAATAAAGTGTACAACGTTGTTTCACTACTTATTCTTTCTAACGTTACTTCTCCAAATTCGTTATCGCTTTGTTTTTGTCTTTGCTTTTGCTTTTAAACTGTAATGAATAAAGCTTCATCAAAGACAGAATGGCTGTAGTTTTCGCGGGTTTTTTAAAATTTTTGGATTAGAGCCACGAGTACAGAGGATTAGACTCCTCAATGAAAAACCGGCAATGTGCTAACGGAAATCAAATAATAAAAACTATGAGCTAGTTTTGAATTTCAGTTATTTTTATTAAATCGCTTTCTTCCGCTGCACTTTTTAACGTTGCGTTTTCAAAGTTGCCTACTTTATGCTCGAGGCTGTTTTGTAAACGTATCGTCATGCATACCATTGGCATAAATCTGAAATATAACTACTGATCGCAGTTTTCTCGTAAAACGTATAACATCTTTGCTGAATAACTTTTCTTTATATTTAAAAGAAGTGCGTTTTTCAAAATCTTAATAAATTACCTTGTACTTTGAAGATCGCCAAAAGTCACGGAATGAGACTCTTAGCTTTATAGGAACAACAATAGTTTTATAGGCCCTAAAGGCCCATTTACACGATGCCATTTTCTTGAACCTAATTTGCGCGCAATAATTGTTTAGACCATTTGTTGTTTAGACCATGCAACTCATTTATTGCTTCAATTTAATTGTATACAACAGGCAAGAAACTGGCACCATGTAAATGGGCCTTAACTCTGTTAGGGCCACGCGACAGCTCGGGCTGTTGCCCGAATGGGCAGGTCCGTTCGGGTAAGTACGACGACCTCATAGAAGGCCGGCGTGAAGTTGAAGTGTTGTACTTCTACGATTCTTCTGTTTATTGAGGTAGGGCCGCAGGGTCCACTTTATTGAAAGTTGGCGACGCATCTGCAACAATCCGGATGATGCAAATCAGGTGAACCGCAAGCTCGCTTGCCACCTTCTCACATTAAAAAACCGGTCAAGTGCGAGTCGGACTCGCGCACGGAGGGTTTCGTACCATTATCTTTAAAAATGGCAAAAAAAAATCATATCTGTTGTATCGGAGCCCCACATAAATATTTTTAAGTTCTGCTTTTTAGTATTTGTTGTTTTAGCGGCTACAGAAACGCATCCCTTGTGAAAATTTAAACTGTCTATCTATCACGGCTCATGAGATACAGCTTGGTGAAAGGCTGACAGACAGCGGTGTCTTAATAATAGGGTCCCGCTTTCCCTTTGGGTACGGAACCCTTAAAACATCGCCCATATACATTAATTGAGTAAAAATAACGTTAGAATTCATAAAATGTTTTGTATAAAATGCGTTTCAAGATAACATCACTCATAGAATGGAACGAAAACTTCATAGTTACAATAAAGTAACACGCTGCTACATGTTTTTGTACATCGCTTATTGTTGTGACATTATCACACAAGATTTAAAGCATCGCGACATCTGGGCGTTTCTTTGACGTAACATCGTTTTACAGATATCGTTAGTATATATATTGACGTTTTCATTCGCTCGTTGTATTTTGTCCAACACTTATCTAAGCTTCTTACCTTGAAACTCCTCCGATATATTCCGACAAATCGTATATATCGACTCAGTAATTAATACATAATTGTGTTACATTATTCTAACCGAGCTGCTAATAATATTTACCAAATGTGTTGCTATAAAAATAACGGGATGTGTGATCTGTGCAGAGACTTCCAATACAATATATTGCAGAGTAAGCAGATATTTTATTTAGATATTTTAAAATAATACTTTCTTAATATAACATTTTTTTTTCATTTAATTTCATAACTTATCGATATATGTATACGTAATTAGGATATTATTTTATATTATTATGATTAAAATGAGACAACATTCGATTTATCTTTTTCTAATGAAAAATTTGAAGGTAATGATACCGTATTGTAATATTTTTTTTTCAATTTGCATATGATATTTTCAAAACGTCCGTATTTTTGCATTTTTTAAAATATTTTAATTCGAGTAATCGACATTGTCCTTTTTATACCAACAGATCTACTTAAGGCATTCCCGACATCTGCACCGAAGATCGAATTGGATAAATTCCACCTTCAGGACGAGTACTCCATCAATCTCTACCCACCATCACCACCTGAAACGAAACCAAGTCGTGCTGAGCTCGCTAACGATCTTCTGCAGCAGCTAGAAAATAATTACAAACAAGGTATATTTCATGCAATCCAAATTAAGGTTCTCTTTTCTTTTCTCGTTCTCTACATTTTCACAACGAAAATTGGCCGTTCATCCACTTCTTAGTCTTGTTTGAACCCTTGTTTTATTGCAAAAAATATCGTATTTTTTTATTTTCATTATAAGTAATAAATAATGCTTATTAATTTTTAAAATGTCAATATTTGTGTGGTATAAAAATTATTTGTCTAATACTCAGTCTGATTTAAAATATTTCTATTAAATTTTAGTTTTGTTCTGTACACTGAGTGAAGACTGTTTAAAAAGTATCTGAAACTTACGCAGATAGTTGAAAGTGGAAATCCAAAATCTTTGATCCGCCTATCTGTATGGGTTTTAGGCGCGCGATATTGAATATATAATTTTGATGGTTAAGTTTTACAATATTGCTATATGAAGATATAACTAATATGAGGTTAAAATTAATAAAATGATAGTGAAATAACTGCTAAGTAATTACTCCACACACGTAGCCCTGATCTCAAACTGATTTGATGTTTTTAATTATCTTATCTACATAATATATATAGTTGTGACCATTATATGAATTGCAGCTTTTTATGTCGTTGATCACTGACACGCCTCCCGGGGGCCGGTCCTAATTACTATTTTTTTTTATGGCAATGTGTTCTTTTATTTAGTTGATGATTATTAAATATTTATACGATTGAGATTAATATTAAGGTTGGTAGTGCTACTACTTAAGCTTTCTAGCTCTATAATAGGTTATAAATTGTCGATGGTTTAATTATTACACAAGAAAATTTCGCGTAATTCAATATATATTCCATAAAGAACCAGCCCGTAGTTCTAGCATTTCCTTTTACATTGCTGTAATGACGTCATGTCACGTATAGTTAAGAGCATGTACAGAGTACAATTGATTAACTTTTAAAATAGCACGATTATGTCTGGATTATTATGACCGCGACTTATTTACGTGACATACCAGACTATTTTAGTTGTGCCGATCATTATGTCCCTCTTTTTACACAGTACTACTTAACATGTTTGGGTGGAATTTTATATGCATTAATGTCTATCAAATCGTCTATCAGTTTTTAAATATAGCTTAGTAACCTCTTAACTTATTAACTTAATCTCATAAAATTAGTAATTACTTTTTCTCAAAATTTTGGTTATTATTAGGTCCTTACATAAGAAATTGCCATTTTGTACTGGAGGAACATAGTCATTTTTTTTGTAAAATATATTTAATTAATCAATTTATGCACCGTTGTTATCTATGCACTTTTGCCATCGCAGGTAGTTCATTGATCCCTTTACTAAAAAAACCATGGGGGCGAGAATCAAAAACTTTTTGAAGGCGGTTTGTAGTTCAACGGCATTCAACTCCTTGCATTTTTTCCTTGTAAGAAGTTGTCCAAATTCCGGAAAAATGGTAATCTGTTGGAGCAAGGTCCGGGGAGTACGGCAAATGTCGCAGACATTCCAAGGGTAGCTCATCTAACTTAGTGGTTGTTTGTTGTGCAGTTTGTGGTCTTGCGTAGTCGTGAAGCAGCAGTGGCCTAGAGCATTTGACCAATCTCGGTTGCTTAGCAGCTAGCTCTTTCTTCATGGTTTGCAGTTGGTGACAATAGATATCTGCAGTAATTGTTTGCCCAGATTTTAGAAAGCTGTTGTGAATGACACCGGCACTTTCCACCAAACACCCTCAAGTAACTTTTCGGAGTCAACTTTCACTTAGGGCAGTATTTGGCTGGGTCTTCAGGGTTCAGCCATTGCGACGAGCGCTTTCGATTATCGTACAGTATCTACTTTTCATGACAAGTAATGATTTGATTTAAAATCCCTTTATTATTGTGTCGGTTGAGCAAAGTAACACAGCAGTCGACGCGTGTTTGCAAGTTCGATCCACTCAATTGATGAGGTAACCATCGTTCAAGTTTTTTTACTTTCCCAATTTGCTTCAAGTGGATTAAGACAGTTTTATCACTAACCCTGAAGCCTACAGCTATCTCTGATTTGTGATGGATCCGATTACACAATAGCTTTTAATTCTTCATTTCCGGCCGTCCACGGGGTTGCTTCTGAAGGTCGAAATTTCCAGAACGAAACCGTTGAAACCAAAAACGTTTTCTTTTGAAACACCAGCGCCATACACATCATTAATCCTTCGATCTGTTTCTGCAGGACTGGTGCCACGGTAGAACTCATACTCGTAAATATACCGATATTTCATGTTTTCCATTGTAAGGTAATAAGCGACTCCAAAGAATAAAATAATGAGGAAGAAACAGATGAACGACTGTTTTCAAAACTCAAATATACCAGCTAAATGAATTTATAAATTTGAATTTGCAATTCTTAACCAAAGAGGAGATATTTCAGGTCAAAGTGGACAGTAGGACAAAACGCTAATTTCATTTGCAAGGACTTAATATTAAGATAAACTTAATCAATCTGATTGTGCTTAATCATTACATTCTGGATTCGAATGCGGAGGGGTCGCGAAAGTGCCATGGGCATACAAAAGTGACCAGAGTGTAGTACGAGTAGATATATACTTTTGCATTTCGCCTAGTAAGTGAGGAAACTGGTTGCCACTCTGTTATAGGGTGGCAACCCTAAAACCCTAAAATCCAGATACAGAATAATTATCTTTGGGTAACAGTAATACTTGTCCCGAGTAGGAATCTAACCCATTATTCGCGCCACCGAAGCAAATTGCTTACCAAGAGAGTGAGTGCGAGATCGAGATTGGAGTTACACTTATTTGGAACTTAAAATGTTAATTATCTTCCGAGTCATACATGTCACTATCGTTTTCTTGTAACTTAAAAATTAGGGCTGGATTCTTCTTCTTTAAAATAAGTTTCTTAGAGTCTTCGGTATTTTATCCAGTTGAAGGACATATATAATCCAGCTTTTCTTCGGAACGTTCTTGATTACATTTTTGCATTATTATTATTATTGATTATGCACAGAAATCTCAATGTACTCTATTTTAAATTTTTTATTAAATACAGCTAACAAAAATGCACCATTCTTATTCCCAATGACATTTATGGCCTGATCATTCAGATCATAACGCGAGTACTGTAATATTTTTACGATATAAAATTGTTTCTCTTGTAAATCTTGGGTAAGCTCTGGGACTGAAGAACCAGTTAAAGTAAAGAGTAATTTTTTAGTTATTTTTTATTTGTTTTTTTTTATTTGAAAAGTTGCCAAGCGAGCAGACGGTTCACCTTATGTTAAGTGAATACCGGCGCCCATGGACATCTGCTATACCCGAGGGTTCCAGATGAGTTGTCAAACGCGAAAGTGTTATACTTCCACTTTACGCCGGTCTTGTGTGAGGTCGTGGTACTTACCCGGACGAGCCTGCCCATTCGTGCAACAGCCGAGGCTGCTTCATGGCCCTACCACCGTGAAAAAGTTTACAATTTACATTTAATTCGACAAATTAAATACCTTCAATTACCGCAATACTTTTTGAAATTTTGGATATGATGAGATACATGGTGTTCAATTCACAGATAATTATTCAAATTAACTGTGTCAATATGATTAAACAGATTTTCAGTATATATTTGTAATAATTCTAAAATATACTTAAAACTTTTTACTGCTTATAAACATATTTCACCAAGTAGAATAACAGGTATCGTTGTTTTGCAAGCAAAATGTATATAAGTACTTATATTACGTACTAAAAGATTTGACGGTCTGAATCTTTAATAAGAACAACGTTTTTTAAACATAGTACTATTAAATTTCACATGTTACATTTAATAGTAATTATTAATGATAATCATTAATAATAATTAACATAAAGAAAAATCACGTCACCTTGTCTTCTCGTTATCTATTACCGTTTCCTCTCAGATAATACTCTATGATAATCATAGTTTATCATGGCGTAACCCGTTAACCCCAACCATCAGTTATGTGCGTGATAATATTTAAGGTTGTGTGCATTACTTTTTAGTCTGTACTTTCGTTTGACGCGTAATGTATGCAGGAATGACACGAAATGCATCGGGCCGTTCGGGGCGTGAGGGGGGGGAGTAGTAGTTAAGGTCCAACGCGGTCAGCGAGCGCGCGCGCACTCAGTCGAAGCGTGAACCGCGCCGCGTTTGCAGGCGTCCATTCCGTCAGAGCACACCCGTGACAATAAATTCGAACCGAGGAGCGTACGGCGGGCGTCCGCGCTCGGCACGCAACCTATGTCTGCCGCCGTCGATGCGCCTGGACGCCGTTAGAATGAAGTACCACTATCGGTGCATTTGGAACAAGGACATAGTGTTCAATTCACAGAAACTAGTCAAAAGACGTTAGATCGCAAAGATCCGAACTGAACTTTCCACGACGACTACCGCTCTCTACGAGGACTCCAGTTTAAATATATAATAGCACTGCCTATAATATAATCGTATTAAAATTTGTTTTAAGAACCCTATTGATAGCAGTAAGCACTGTTTAGGACGATAAACATAAATTTTAACTGACATCATGATGGCACTTCCAGATTTGTATGCCGGTACGTTTTGTTTCGCTAGTTGTAAGCTAATTTATTGTGTTATTGAAATGCTATATTTGAAAGGCATCGTCGCAGAAAGCAATTATCAAGGTTATCATGCTCTAGTTCCTGTGATCATTAGTTGTTTGTGCATTGGCTGTTGTAAATATACCTTGAAAAAGCCTTGAAATATCTATCGTTGTAATGTTTGTTTATGTTTCTTTAACTTCTAAAGGCTTTATTTTGTCTCTGTCTACAATAACTAGATTCCCTTCCTTCACAAATGATTTTACTATAAATCTTCGATCACTTCTTATGATTACGTGTTTATTCTCATATCCATATATGTACTTTTATTAATATTGTTCTCTGATGAACTTATTAGCAGTGGATTGCATATATTTTCATATTTATGTCAGAAGCTAACAATCACGTGGCGTTGCAACCTGTGGTCCAAGTCATGACAGACACGAGATTGGAGTTTTGCAAACAGACACAATTCTGGCGCCACGGCGTTCTTTCCAATAAACAAGCGTTTGTTTTGTAGGGAATGGAATCTTTTGTACTTATACCACGACCCACTGATAAACCAGTTCGCTCACAGGGCGACCTCGCTTTAATACTCACTCAATAATTAAAGCGACGTATTGACCACTTGTTTCCAATCCACATTGATACAGATTATGACATATAAGTTCCTTGTTTTCTTTGTCCCGCGGGAAGTTATTGCTTACTGATAGCGTTTATTTAGTAGAATCAATATTTTTCGTCCAACATTACTTAATGATTGGGTGATTATGTACGAATTTATTTACTAATCTGTCTTGTTTTCCAATGAGTTTTTCTTTTTTTAGAAGACCTGTTAATTTTGTTTTTGATATTCGGCGAATGTATTATTCAAATATGGAAGTTGTTGGTTTCTTTTAAAGGAAAATATGGTCTTGCTTATTATTTTTTAACCTTATGTCATCTTATAATATTATGTTATTGCTTTGATGGTCTATTATACTTGTTTTTGGTTTGGGAATATGCTAAAGATTTAGTTGGCTAAGTATATAGAGTCATACTTATGCAGCAAAATGTTATGATAGAAATGTTGCTAGTCTATCAAGTTCTATAATCAGAGGGCATGCACAAGTGTCGGAGATTGTGCAAGTTTATCTAGGGTCATGCATTGCAGCTCCGCTTCACTCCCAAGATATTTCTAATTAACTTATAGAACAAGTTCAAACAAACTCTATCACACAATTTTAAATTCTCTTTGCGTGATTGTTCATTTGATTTCATATATGTACAGGCCGTAAACGTCATACAATAACCAGATCACCGCAAAATTTCGACGGAGAAGTAGATATTGAGATTTTAAAAAGGAATGTAAAAGTAAAATAAGGCAAATAACGATAAACAAGTTTGTATGGAACCTTGTTAATTATCAGTAATTGCATCCAAATTAGTAATCGAAATAAATTTATGGTACAAATACTTTTTCCACTATTAACAGATGACGAGTGAGAAGTGAAATTATGATTTTACTGTTCGATATCTTTATGATCGATCAAACAACTGAGTAACCCCCATAGGTATTACATGTCGTTCATGGCCACTTTTATTGTTATCTTATACATACAAAGCTTTTACAACAAAAAAAGCTGTCTTATTTATCAGTAGACGGTCCACACAGACTGTAGTAGTTGTGTATTCATCAATTACTCCCAATTGATTTTTGTGTGCGCCGTCGCCCGCCGTGATTGCTTTAGATACTGTTTTCGTATCGCGCGCGCCATGGTGCGCTTAAATTGTACTGTGGCGCAACGAATTCATGACACCAATACACTCATTTGTACATTAATTGGTTAATTATAATTTATTGATTTGCATTTATGCTATTGAAGTCAGTAAGTTAAGTACTTGTAATGCTATTATGGTAGTGTAGTAGTTGTAAAAATAAAATGAAATGGTTTCTGTTTCAAAGTTTAAAACACAAGTATTTTTCTTTTGTGAATTTTTTTAAAAATATAGAATGAATTAATTCTCAACATAATTATTAAATTTTGATAAGAATTTCATGCTTAATTAATTGTTTTGGAATTATTCGACGGTTTTGGCTCATAACGACCGAAATCCGTGGTAACCTTTTATATATATGCCTTTAGAGGAACAAATATTTCTACTAGGCAGAAGTTACATTTTTTTCCAATGTTTCCCACACATATTATTTTTGTGTATCGGAATTAGCAAAGTGTATTCAATTGATTGTATCGCCACCGCTCAGTTGTCCAGGACAATGGCTCGAGGTCTGCGGGGCTGGCGATTTGCGTGCAACATGAGATGTTTATTTAGTTCACGGAGGCTCGTCTTGCCTCTCTGCCTACTTAGCGGATTTTTTTATACTCCATTGCTACGAACGAAGCTAAAATATTTTACCGTATTTACAACTACTTGAGCGTGGTGGACTAGTCCAACTTGTGACGAGTTGGATTATGTTGGATTAATGGAATTGCGGTTGTTTAAATTGCTTTAACAATTTTTAAGTTTTCCTGTCTAAAAACTGTGTTTAGGGTTTTCCTCTCCATGGAGATGTCAATAAGTACTTTAATCATCTCGTCTCTGATAAAATATAAATGTTCCATGAAGCGTAATTTTGGAGAATAATAGATAAGATACTGGCCACAAAAAGTACTGAGGCCGGTCCAAGATCGAGATCAAAGATCACGCAAATGTCGTCACGTTCCGCATGAGTTTCCTCGAAGTTACATTAATTATTTAGGCTACGTTTGAGTTATCACTCTGAGTTTATTCACATCAATTTATCGCTACACTTGTTTTAATTCTATTACGTTGATTAGAGAACGCTGAAAGGAAAACCGGGCTCTCAAGTCTCAATCACTGACAGGGTTGACGGAGATTGCGATTATGTTGCATTGAGCAAAGGGTTCGAATATCCCTCTGGGCACGTGTGACTTGTGAAGAATGTAAAAAAAATTATAAGTACTGGGTCTAGTTATTTTTCAACTTGAAAATTGTGAAAGCTTTTTACGCGTTATCTCTTTGTAGAACAGAGACTAAGGTTTATGATAAAAATATTATTCAATTTAATTGAATATTAAATCTACAAAAACTAAAGTCGCTGTATAAATTTTACGAGTTAACGTAAACTATCGATTTTGCGTGAAAAAAGTAAAGAGTTTTTGCTCTCGATAAGCAGATTCTGCTGTATAATCATTTACCGCGGAATAATTGAGGCATGGTGCTAATATAATTTATGGGTTAAGGCCAATTGCATATTAACTGTAAATCACGATAATATTAATTTATACTCCCATTCTTTTAATATTAAATAGTCAATATTTTCGTGTTGGTAATAATATACATTTACATATAATTGAAAATGAGGTAATTCTTTTTCCACTTATTATCACAATAATAATTTTCTATTTGCAGAAAACATCTTCTCCAACTGGCTCGAGGAGAAGGTGGAGCTGCCAATTTTCGACAACGTCAGCCAAGTGCCGGTGCGCGTGGAGGTTGCGGCCCCCATCGCGCCGGTGGCGTACGAGCACGCGCACGTGGTGCCGCAGCCCACCGAGGAGTTGCTGCGCGAGTTCGAGTCGGTGTACGGCGCTGTGGAGCTGACGCACCTGACGCCGCCGCAGAGCCCCCCCGGCCCCGCCACCCAGCTGCTGTTGAGCTACGCGCAGCAGGCCCAGTACGCGCCCCCCGCCGCCGCACCGGCCCCCCAACCGCCGGCCGAGCAGTTCGCCGCGCACGCGCCCGCCGCACTGCCGGCCGAGTTCGATTGCGACCTGCAGGCCGTCGAGGAGCTGGTGCGCCACCGCGCCGCTCAGCTCTCGGGCAGTGCGAGCACCTCGCCCCGCTCGTCGCCGCCCTCCTCGCCGCGCTCGTCCACGGATGAGGAGTGGTGCGGCCCCGCCGGCAGGCCGAAGCCGTACGCGCGCAACGCCGACGACCGCCGCTCGCGCAAGAAGGAGCAGAACAAGAACGCCGCCACCCGCTACCGCCAGAAGAAGAAGGCCGAGATCGAGGTGCTGCTCAACGAGGAGCAGGCGCTCCGCACGCGGCACACGGAACTGGGCGACAAGTGCTCCGACCTGCAGCGCGAGATCCGCTACATCAAGGGGCTGATGCGCGACCTCCTAAAGGCCAAGGGCCTGATAAAATAAAATGCGTTCCTCTCAAAATTCAAAGTGAAAGAATACATATCCATGTCGCGCGGGAAACGCGCTTTGGTCCATTGAAATTCGCTCAACAGGAGGTTTTGGAGCTCTTTAAACGTTTCCTTTTCGTTAAGCTAGTTATTAGTATTATATCTCGCAGTTCACATCTCGAATAACAGATCCACATCGAGCAGCCGTCATCGCTCAAACTGTTTGTCGAGGGATAGAACATCATCATAATATAACACCTATTAAGATCATAGGTGGCGCTAACTTTTCATATTTCATTTTTTTTCTTTTCTTTATAGAGGATAGGTCGCATTAATTGTGATGGAAATGGAAATACACATTCAGATTTCACATATTTTTGTATAGTACCACTTTATGAATCTATCTTAATCTAAATTTTAAAATGAATTTTGACAAATTGAAACATCGAAACACGGTTCTGTTTTCATGCAATATACAGAATGCGACGGCGGAAATATTGGTGTTTTATTTCAAGTTTCTATTCGATAGACAGGTCCCTATCTTGTTATATTTAGTCAAGTTGATATCGCCATGTTGAATGCCATTATGAGTTTTAGTTTTTCCAATCAGTAGCCCTAAGTCAAGGTACCGTAAACAGATGTAGGAATCTATTAGGGAAGTATGTTAAGACGTAGAAGATAACGATTTAATAAAATAGTGTGCGTCATTGACGAGTGTCAACTGACCTCAATCTAATATTGTTTTATTGTTACTTAATAAATATTATCGAAGCTTTACTGTATTATCGTGTGTGGTAAGTTTTGATTTTAGTTAAAGCGCATGTCGATGCTTGTGCGCTATTTAGGAAGACAAGCATCTAATAGTAATCTAATAATAAAGTGTATTTTATTAGATACAAAATTTAGTAGTCTCAATTTCATATCTTTACATAAAACTATTATTAATCTATATTTTTATCTTATTATAAGAAGACCCTGATCGTAAAATGGGAAATCTTCATGCCATATACAATATTGGATAATACCGAAGTAATTTTCTTTCAGTCACGTATTTCGCATGTGACAAATGACAATTAAACAAATCTCGCAATGCTATGAAAAGCACAAAATTGCCTTATCTGATGATTCCATTAGCTTGGATATGACTAAGAGGATGATATGCCGTAATGATCAAGATTTACTTCTTCAGTCTTAAAACTTAGAGTAAGGTTAAAAATTCTTTACGAGTCTTAAATGCGCAAAATATGATACTTTTAATTTTAAACCCATTAGTTTGCGGTTGTTAATCGGCTAGAGTTAAGTATATCTTAATAACAGTATCTAAACAAAAGATAGCGATTTTTATATTAGAGATTTAACGGTTTTTCAAAGTAACAAAATGTGTATGTAGTACATAATATGCATATAAAATCAGGCATGTTAACGTCGTCTCATAGTCAACTTGACTCCGCGTTTCGTATGGTTTAAAGAGTTGAAGTAGGCTGTGTGACGTCATACAGTTATAAGCGAATGTTTCAAAATACATATGTAGATTGCAGGGTACAAAGACAAGGGAATAATGGTAAAATTGACTTAATATAAATTAAGTTGTTAATATGACTCAAATTGCCCAGCGATTAAACTATCCAATAATAATGGAAAATCTATTGTATTTAAGAAATATCTATTGTAAAGATAAGTATTTATAAGTCGTAATGTACATCGGAGATCATTTAATGATCATACTCATTTTCCGTTGTATTTATTTAATATTCGTAATAATACATTTAAAGTATTGAACATTACATTATAGTAATAACAAGTAATGATAATTGTGCAAAACACAATTTTATCCTATACGATAAGTAATACAGGGTGAGTAAGGTAAAGGAATTTAAAAATAAAAATTGGAAATAAACAGAAGTGTGTATATGGGTGTGTAAGTGAGTGAGCGATGTCTATGCAACAGAAGAAATAGAAACTTTTGTATTAATGATTTATAATTATATAAAACTCCATGGTATTTGGTAAAGTAAATACCGTTATCAAGGTTTACTGAGAGAATAAAATTGACGTAAGACTTGAATTATCTTCAATTTCTAAGTTGTCTTATCAATAGTTTCTTTAACTAGGGTGTTCTACAAAAAAGTTTATTTCGAAAATTACAATAATTCATGCTACTGCGTACACACAAAACGCAACAACACAAAAGTAAACACATAAACACCAGGTTTGTTAGAAACTAAGCCTAAGGTGTTTCTGATAAATAAAACAGCAGATATGTAAATGAATAATGACATCCATTTGTATATATGGAATTATAGATTTACTGAATTTTAAATAAATATTTATTAATATTGAACAGCTATCTAGGTTTGCATCTGTACTATATATTATATACATCTTGTATCTTGTATTAACTGATGTTTTTGCTTTCAGTCCCGAGACTATTGAACCTTCATCTGACGCAGAACCGATGGGCTAGCCAGAACCCACGGGTTTGGGCCCTCCGCTGTGGGTAGGGCCGCGCATGTGCTCATGCGTGCGTTTAACTACGACATGTCGTCTAAGGGCCATCGAAGTTGCGGTGCGGACCGAGACCCCGATGGCCGTCGACTGTGTTTTAGCTAATCGGTGGCTGGGGGCGGTGAGAACCGCCCTGGAACGCGGGGGTACCTTGTGTACGCGTTGTGATGGTCTCGCCGTGCTCGGAGGTCGCGTTTGTGTCGGGTGGGTAATTTATATACAATAGTAACTGGTACATATTTATTAGTTTAACGTATTTCCCACCTATAAGGAAAACGTTATTGGAAACGCGCAATATGCTTATACTTTATGTTCCATATACATAATATTCGATTATACATTGTAGCTCTACTATGACTAATGTATTTTTCTGATAACGATGTAAGTGTGTACCTCTTTTGTAAACACATTTATTCAATTTTTTTTAAATAAAACTGTATTTGTGCCACTGCCAGGCACAGGTCTCCAAACGGGCAATACAATAAGGGGTGTCTTGCACCCTGTCGTAAAAAAATCTTCTTTCGCTGTATATTATTTATTGAATAACAGGTCTTGTGAAATATTTTTTACTGTCTGTATTTATTAAACAGCTAGGTTATTATCGGGAAGCCAATGGATGCAGGTGGCTCAGGATCGTGCTTCGTGCTTCGTCTGGAGGCCTCAGGGACACAAAGTAGTATAGGCCCCTTGGCCCCAAATTATTTTCCAAATAAACGAACAATTATTTTCTGTCGAGTTTTCCAATATATAAATTATTGTGAAACCAAGTATAAATATAAAAGGAAAAGTTGTTTACTAGTGTTTACCAGTCTGAATTTGAAATTTTTGCCCCTCTTCTGTGGAGGTCTGAAGCCCCGGTTGCCCTCCCTTAAATCCGGCCCTGCCTATGGAGGAGGGCACTTTTCAGCAGTGGACTCTACCAGGCTGAAATAATGATGATTAGTTATAGGAAGGAAGAAAATGATTGTGCCTATTCTAGTGGGAAATGAAAAATAATAATATGAAAATAGACAACGATATGTAAATAGGGAGTACAATATTCAGACAATGGTCCGTGCATGTTGTAAACTCCCCTGGAGGTAACGTCCCCTGAAAGATCAAGTTTTGTTGATCGCTGAACCCGCATACCTGTTATTCTAAATGAGATGTGCATTACGAGTTTTGAAAGCTGTAAGAATTATTAAAGACGCAGAAAATTCCGTTTTTTTTCCAGTCTTAAGTCAACATGATCTTTCCAATTGGCTCTTGCGTTCAATCAAATTAAGGATAAGCTGCATCACTGAAAATCCACTGATGATTGAGTTAATATTAATATTTACATGTGTATTACCCTTATTAACATCTAACTTTTGTCTAGTCCGATTTTCTTTGAAGGAACAAGTGAGTACTGAAATTTACACATTTTGAAACATAATTGAAATCAATTAAAAAAAATGTCAGTTGCATCAAGATATTTAAAGTTCGAATGTCATGAATGTATTAACTACGGTGAGTCGGTGCTAAGGAATTTTCATCGACACCGCAAGCGGTTAAGAGAGCGCGCGATAAGGCTTTTACCGACAGTGCCCTACATATCCGAGCGGAATGAAATTATTATAGAATGAATGAATACACTTTAATAAATTTCGTATATTACTATATATACGATGATCACATTCAATAAAAGAATGTCTGCATAAAAACATCAATGTTTGTCCAGATCTTTTAAATTGTTAGCAGACGATTTAAGCAGACATTGGTTTTTCTTTTCAATATGGACATGACTTACGAGAACACTTATTTTTTTGCCTGAAGCACATATGGTAGTTAATTTTAAGAAAGGAGCAATTTTTTTTCAGTTGGGGGTATCTTATGAACCATTTCAAAGAATGCTTACCGTTGGTTTTGGCCGTTTTAGAATTGGTCCTTCTAGATACATAATCAACACGCTATAAAAAATTAAAAACAGTGATTAGTCAGTCAACAATTTCACGACTTTGAGCACGCCTTATGTCATGGAGGAAGCGAACGTTGCCCAAGAGGGTAGTGGGGGAGCAACGGAGCACACCGAATTCTCTACCCAAGATTCAGCACCAGCTGAAGAGTCTTCTTTGACCACACCGCGCTCCAAGATTTAAGAAGTAAATCCAGAGCGTTCCATGTCGGGCAGATTGGAAAGGTATTACGTCCGTTAAGACGAGTTGACTATAGGCCGTTTTTTAATTGTATAAAGTGTAAAATAGAAGGGAGGAATGTTGTGTATGTCTGTGGACGTTATCTGTGGCTGCGCCCACACTACTTGTTAATGTGCAACATTAAAGCATTGCGTAACTAACCAGCACCGAGTTACACCAACATTATATTTACCAACCAGCAAGCGATTCACTAGTCCCATACATATCAAGTATATATAAATGATCTCCCCTTTTATGTCAGTGAGTTGTGTGATTTTGTACTGTTTGGTGATTATACATCGCCAATTTTTAAGGTTGACCGAAATGTATCAAATTATGACGACGAACTTTCGCA